GAATTGCACAAGGTTTTATAATATAAATTGTAGGTTCTTGATACCATTTTTATTCATATATTTCTTTTATTCAGTACGATAGCAATTTAACCACAATAAAGATAGACAATTTTTTTGGGAATAGAGTTGTTTCCTTAAAAAAAATACAGGTAGAATAGATAAAATGATTATTTCACTGACTAAAATGATAATATGGTCCTTGATCTGTTAAATGAACATGTATCTTGTAAAATGTATATATTGTCCAAACCTCATAGAGCATATTACCTTAGAATTTAGAGGTATAGAGGATATATAGTATCCATAGTATAAGAAAGTACAGCCATTCTGAAAGCTCGCACTCCAAGTAACCATGTAAAGAATGTGGCTGAGACACAAAGAGCACAATTACCTGCAGTTACTGGGGACAGGAGTATGTTACTCACTTTATACACAAACATCATTCTTTATCCAGTTTCCAGAGTATTGTACTTTATAATTAGAATTTTAGTAGCAGATTTCACTTTAAATCTCAGAAGTGATAAAACTGGAGAGAAGAAGAACAACAACAAAATATATATGCCCAAAATATGAGCAAAAATTCTGTAAGGAAGACCTATATATGAAATGTCAGCATTAATGAAAATTTTTCACCACATATATCACATTACATGCCAGGAACAATTGAAAGGGATCTTCCCACCAATGATTACAGCATGCTGGAGATGTGGGCAGAAGGGGGAGGAAGAGGAGGTTTGTATGTTATACTTAGCTAGAGTCATTCGTTGAGATAGAAATCAGATAAATAAACCAAATAGTTTAACCATGTTTTGATAAAACCACTGTTGGCTGAGTTTACATCACATACTAAGCCATGGTTTATTTGTTTCTGACTTACAGATTGTGTGAATATAATGTTATAATTATAAAGATAACTAAATCCCAAGCACTCTTAAGCTTTATAATTACAAAACTGTGTCTGAATTCACACAATATGTAAGTCCGAAGCAAATAAATCATGGCTTAGTATGTGATGTAAACTCTTCCAATAGTGATTTTATCAAAACATGGTTAAACTATTTATTTTGTTTATTTGATTTCTACAGCCGCCCATCTCAACAAATGACTCTAACTAAGTATGATGTACAAATTGAGTCTCTGAGCACAGATGCAACTCTTGCAGAATTGGAGTAAAATGTTTCCACCTAGTGGTTGTGTTTCAGCTGAAACCAAGCTTTCAATCACTCTTCAAAGATATATAACATAGAAAACTTATATGATAACATCACTACAGATACTGTTATGAATAATGTAACTCTATTTAATATACTTTTGAGAGACAATTGCTATGTAGTTATAACTATTATAGCAGTAATCCTAAATGCCATCAATTGGTCAGGACATTTCTGTTGAGGAAAGGCCACAGCTGCATATCAGCTCCATTTCAAAAAGACCACCTAAGCTTCTGATAACATCATTTTCCAGAAGCACGTCCAAAGTATGTATCCAATCATTTAGGAGTCTATAACCCCCATATATAAACAATCTCCCTACCCAAATAAACCAATTAATGAGAGCAGGGAATAAGTAATCTTCAGGTGCTTTGGACAAGAAGGTAGGACAAGAAGTAACAGATATGGTAGAAATTTATCAAGGAGAGACCCAACAGAGAATTAAGGAGAAATTTCCTGACAGTGAGAACAATCAATCAGTGGAATGGTTGCCTTCAGAAGTTGTGGGTGCTCCCTCACTGGAGGCTTTTAAGAAAAGATTGAACAACCATTTGATTAAAATGATATAGTATGTCATGCTTGAGCAAGGGGTTGGACTAGCAGACCTCCAAAATCCCTTCCAACTCTGTTATTCTGTTACTTATTGGGTATAGATCCAAAACTGATCAAAACACAAAACATAACATAACTTCTGGAATCAGGTCATTAAGTCAAAACAACCACTGGAACATCATGCTTATTTTTCCCAATTTAAAGAATCTAGTGAGACAGATATCTTGATTTTAGAATCTACAACATGATGCCCCGAAGTGCCAATGGTTCTTGGGGCTCAGAAGGTTCTTCATCCTGCCTAATTTTTAAAAAATCTGTTTAATTTTAAGATGGGAAGTTGGCATGCTGCATGACATACAGCAACTCTCCAGTATAATTTTTATTTCCAAGAATGCATCTAGGTCCGTGATGGCGAACCTATGGCACTTGTGCCAGAGGTGGCACAGAGAGCCCTCTCTGTGGGCATGTGCGCCATCACCAGCTGCTTTTCTAGTTGCATGCACACCGGCCAGCTAATCTTCGTGCATGCCGGAGCCCCGGAAACCCGAAGAACAGCTGGCCAGTGTGCATGCGTGTGCTTGCCACCTGGTCTTTGGGTTTCTGGTACTCCAGCACACGCGAAGTCCAGCTGGTGCACCGGAAACCCAAAGACCAGGTGGCCTGCTCACACATGTGCACCGGCCAGCTGGTCTCAGAGTTTCCTTGGCGCTGGTGCACACATGCACGCACACGCGTACTGGTTTGGGCACTCAGTGCCGAAAAGGTTCGCCATCACTGTTCTAGGTGCCATGCAGCAGTCCATGTCTTTGAAAGAATACCCGCCTACCTAGAAAAAAAAGAAAGAGAGCCTATCATTGTTCAGCCATTACTCAATTCCAAGTAGGGATAATTGCATGTTACTATTGTTTATTCCAAACCCCAAGTAAAGTCTTATTTCTAGTTACACAATCCCTTTTCCAGTCACTCGGTATTCCCATCTCTCATAACGAATAATGTACTTCTGCTTAACTGGCTATTTCTAGCTATTACAAGGATAATGATGTGTGTGGTGTGATAATCTAAATAGTTCAAAGTATCTTGTCCACATTTATGGGTTTTATTTGCAATCCTAATGGTTTCATTTCAAAGATTGTTAATCTTTCTACTTCATGTCAAAGATTCATTATTTAATGCTCCACATGTTTTGCAAACATTTAATGTGCTTCTGAAAGCTCTTAAACTTCTTCCTATTTGCCAAACTGACATGGATGATTCTCTAAGGATCCAATGGTGACTGAAGTATTGATTTGCTATCATTACTATAGATTAGACACCAAGGCATTTCTGTGAGGCCACATTTCACCAAATGTCACCATTCTTCAGTGACAGAGTTTGCTGGAAGAATAAGGTGTCTCTGCGTTATCCAGCCAGAATGCATGCTTATGATCCCGTGGGTTAATTGCTCAAGTAATGTCTGTAATCCAAACTCCTAGACTTCATCAGGTGCCACCAACATCAGTCAAACTTTCACCAAAGCCCTCAAAAATCTTTACACTCCCTCACCATTTTCTTCTCACCCAATCAAGAATGAAAAGTGTGATCTGCCTTATAGCTGATGAAATACTGGAACAGTTCTATGGTTCAGATTCAAATGCAAAAAGTAGCCAGCTTTGCCCTGACCATTTTATAACTATGGTCTGCCAAAAAAAAAAAAATCCCCAAGGATAAAAAAAAGCAACTGCAGTAGTTATCTATTAGTTTTTGAAGTTAACATTCTCCTGCTTAGCAAAGATGAGTGAGTAATTAGTAGTTAGAAACAAGCATATTATGTTCTAGAACCCTCAGTTTTAGCATAAAGAGCAAAATCCATTTCATATGTTAATTGTTCCTCTCAAAGGAACTAATTTACGTGAAAGAAAATGCACAAATATTGCCATAACAGTGTGACACTTTGCTACCCTTTACAATACGTATCCACTTCCTGAGTGAACTTTATTTCCTACCATAAGACAATTTTCTACTTGGAAAAAATAGTAAATGAAATGGCATTGTCCAGACAAGGTCAATACTGAGAACTCCCAAGGGCAATAATGGAGAGAGTTACACTGCACAATCCTATATGTGTTACTTGGAAGTAAATCAGAATGAGTTTAATAAAGTTTATATCCAAGAAAAATATGAATAAGAACATCTATGACCAAATAGCATCATTAATATCAATGAAATAGAACCAGCTTTCATTGGACTATGCCCAGCAAATGTCCAGAGACATATCTGATCTTCAACTAGTGGATTAAGAACTGTACTAGTCTAAGAGAGGACTGCCATAAAACACACAAGAAAACAAAGTTTGAGCTGCAGATAAAGCTAAATCTGTAATAGCATAAAGTTATATTATTGTAAGTTTTTTTGATACAATCAATGATTGTGCTATTACCTAAATTATTTGTAAATTAGAACACATCCTATCAATACTGAAGATAATTAAAAGTTTGCATTCTTTGCTAGTATTCAAGGTAAGGCCACAATACTACCTCACTAATATTGATGATAAGGCATCTAACAATAGTCAACATTTTGGGTTATACCCAAATTCTATTTGCTGCGCAAAGTATCGGCCTTTGAAATGTCTTTCAGGAAGCATCCACTCCAGAGAAATTCTATTGTGCCAGGAGGAAACAGCCATTTAAAAAATATTTTAAAAAATAACATAGACTAACTTGCTAACTGGACAGAAATAATTCCACCCCTCTTCATTTTGCTTTCCTCCAACTAGGCTGCACTGGTGGCTCAATCCAAGTTTCAACTCCATTGTAAGACTCCTAATTTTCACCCTGGACTTGCTGCTCAGCCTTGAGCAGGAAGCTCCTAGAATCACTGCAATTAGCTCATTATAGGGTTGGTTTATTATCCAGCATCTGTCAAAAGAATCCCTTCTGGTCTAAGTTAAAGATGCTCTCATGCCAAAGGCAGTTTTTGCTGGGAGCAAGAGGTTGCATTTTTCTACACAACTTCTGCACTCCAAGCCCAGGCTGCTGCTCTTGCTTGTACTGATGACTTCTGAACTGCTCCATTTCCCTCTTCCAGCCCCCTTCCTCTCCCACAGAATCCCCAGTTAAAATCATGCCCTTGCTATCTCTTATTGTTTAAATAACAACAACAACAACAGATACAACATCAATGCTTCTCTTTGCTGCTGAGGACAAGAAATGAAGTGCTGTTTCTTTAATCGGCAAAAGCATGCAATTAAGAGCATACCTTTAATTTAGTGTTGGGATAGCTCACTTGCACCCTGGCAGTTGTCTTATTGGAGAGGGCAGCCTGCCTCAGATCCTCTAGCACTGAAATTATATCATCCAGCACGCATTTCTTATCCTGATTTCTCAACACACACAGATGGGAAAAAGTATAATTATAGCCTTTGTGGTTCACCTTCATTTCCAGCACGGTTCGGTGGATCTGCAGCAGCCCTTCAGCCTGGTGCAAAATATTGCCCCCGGGCTTGGCGAGGAGGATCACCCGGCCATACCTCCCCGGGGTGTGCAAGTCCGAATAGAGATGGCTTTTGGAGCGGTCGAGGGGGAAAAGGCTGTTGGCCAAGCTCCTCTCGATCTTGGCCAAGCTGTGACTCGGGGCCACTAGGAGCTCCAGGTCCATTTCAGGCTGGAAGCGGTTGAGGACGCTGAAGCCGAAGATGATGGTCAGGACTGCGGGCACGGTGAGGAAGAAGACAGGATGCCGGCTGACGAACAAGCCCAGTTGGTGGCAGAACGACCGGAGCCCTCTGTGGATCACCTGCCGCAGCATCCTCCTCCTCCTCCCGAGCCAGCTTGCGGATGCTCCCGGCCGTCTTCTTCGAAAGCACGGGGGACATCGGGAGCTAAGTGGCCTGACGAGCCCCGCTGCCTGCCTCGGACTTTCGCGCTCACTCGCTCGCTCGCTCGCCCGCTGGCTCTTCCTTCCTCTCCCGCTACTACCCGCTTAAAACACTGCAGCAAGTTGCAGCAAGATGACCAAATATTGATCAATGGGAGGGGGGGGTGCGCGCGTGCGGGGCTACGGGGTGAAGGGGGGGCAGAGGAGGGGGTTCCCTCGGGCTTCCCTCTCCCCCCCTCCCCTTCTCAGCCTTTCAGCCCCGCTTCACTCGCGATTCTCCGGAGGCAGCTCCGGGCTGCTGCGGCGGCGCCAAGGCCCCCTTGTCCTCACCCCTCGCGCCTTCCTGGCGCGCTCGTGCAAAGCCCTCCGAAGCGAGGTGGGCGGCGGCATTTCAGGAGTGTCGCGGAGCTCTCGGCTGCTTTGAAGTTTAAGCGCCGGGCGAGCCGGCGAGGCTCCTGGAAGGAGGAGGAGGAGGAGGAGGAGGAGGAGGCTGCGCCTGACCCAGCCTTTCCCTTAAAAAGGAGGCGCGGGAACCCCCTGCCTACCTGAGGGTAGCCCGGCCTCTTTGGCTGTCGGGCGGACGGGAAGCAACCGAGCAGGAAGGCGAGAACGGGAAAGAAAGATGAGGCTGCGGCGTAACTCAGCCGGCTCATTGTCTCTCGCGCCCGCCCTTCTTCTGGCGGGAGCGATGCAGCGCCCGAGAGCTGCGGCTGCGGCTCCGGCTCGGCTTCGGGAAAGCACCTCCGCCGCCTTCGCCTTCGCCTCCCTTTCTCTCCTGCTTCCCCGCCAGGATCGGGCCTGTGGCTAGCCGAGCGGGTGTCCCTTCCAGCCGCGCCTTTTGGCCCCGGAAAGAGGAGCCGGGGAAGAGAAGAGAGGAAATGGTGAGAAGGTTCAGCCGCTCTCGCCTAAGCTTCGGGCTTGACTACTGTAAGGAGCTGAGGGTGGGACTGCCCTTGATCCTGTGCTGAAGCGCTCTTGCTTCTTGCCTTCAGGCGCCAGGTACGTGGCCGACGATCTTCCAGGAGAACTGGCTGCCCAGAGGCTTCCGGGTTCAAGGCGGAGCGCTCCTTACGGACTCAGCCAAGAGCCTCCTGTCTCACCTGCCCACCTCATGCCAGCTGCTGGTCCATCAAAAGATCTGCTCGGGAATCCATCTTTGAAGGCTTTTCAGCAGCTTTGCACCAATACCCTGAGGCGGACATTACACACACACCCCCCCCAAGCACCATGCACAAAATCAGACACTAGAGTGCAAAATACACCTTTTTCTTCTGGGACTACAGTCTTTCTTTCTTTCTTTCTTTCTTTCTTTCTTTCTTTCTTTCTTTCTTTCTTTCTTTCTTTCTTTCTTTCTTTCTCTGCCATTCTATTCTTTGGCTGTTTCAATTTGGAACATTTTCCCCTAATTTTTTTACTGTAGGCTATTTCAAGAATTTCAAGGCAGCTAATAAAGGACTTTTTATAACAGTAGCATCCTGAGTTGGTCAGAATAAGGTACACTCACACACTCCTACCATCATATCATATCTAGACCAAAAACCTGTCACACTGTTTACCAAGACATTTAAATTTCACAAGGTTAATAGCTTTTAAAAATAGTTTATAAACCAAATGGCTATAAGTATATCAGAGATTTTCATCTGCCAGATGTCTGTGTTCCTATCTAGTTTCAACCCCCTTCTTCTAGTTTTGATACAGGCTTTCCTTTGGACAAGAAATATCTTCAGAGTAACCTACCACTGTCCATTGCCTCCCAAAGTCACAGATGTTAGAGTGGATGTTTGAGAAAAAGAGAATTCTCAAACAAATTCTAGTTTAAATGTATGTATTTAAATTCCTAACTTTTAAAACCTGATATTATTGGATTTAAATATTTAGAAAAGCAATAATTTAAATTACAATATTTATCAAACTTGAGCAGCATACCATAAAATTATAAATATAGCACCATTAAAATAAAAAAAACTACAGATTAAAAAACTGTACACCAGAGTATGATCGATATGGCAGAGAATCTCCTCTATCACTCTGCCAGCCATCTCCAGCATGGAGCACCCATATTGGGTCCCCAAGCCAACCAGCAGAACCAAGTTTTGCATTAAAATTACATTAAAAGATACATTGGCCAAGATATTCCCACAAGCTTTAGGGAGTAGGTAAACCGAGCTTGGTTTATACAAGACAATCATATCTTGATTGCAAAAACCTGGATTTTTTAATCTGGATTAGATGGCAATAAAGATATAGAAAATATTGCTTCCATTCAATAGCAGTCTGAAATTTTGTAATCCAGATATGGTAGCCATAGGACAGCCTCTTAATCTAAAATAGCTATCATTAGCAACAATATATAAAGGCATAACATTGGTTTCTGCATCAAATTCAGTTGCCAAATCTTTTCCTATACAGGTAATATTACAAAAATTTAACGACAGCTATGCATTAGAGCCATTGAGCCATTGGGAGTTGAGCAGCCTGTACATTGTACATAATATAAAATAACTAAATATGTGAGCTTTTTTAGCCATGATCTATGCTTAACGTAGCAAAGGCATATCAAATTATGAAAGAATTAAAACAAATAGTACGTGAAAAGGGACTATATTCAGAAACCTCCAGGAAACTATTTTAACACTGTGATTGAATATCTTAAAGGTAATTTTTTGAGACTAACAAATACAATGAAACTGAAGAGTAATTAACATCCATTAGTTTTACTGCTTACCATTTTTTCAGTTTACAAGTAGTACTGCGTATAGGAGCATTCTATTTATTTATCAGATTTTTATCCTGCTATTATTATGTTATAAGTAACTCAAGGTGGTGAACACAATACTCCTTCCTCCTCCTATTTTCTCCAAAACAGCAGCCCTATGAGGTGAGCTGAGGCAGAGTGATTGGCCCAACATCACTTCTCCAGCTTTCATGCCTATGGTGGGACTAGAACTCATGATTTCTAGGCCAGCAGCTTCACTACACCAAACTGGCTCTCCATATTTCTTATTTTTGGGGTCCCAATCTCAACTGTGGTGACTTGCTGTGGCCATCACTTTCAAGTCAACATGCAAACTATCTGTCAAACTTCGTATTTAGTTTGATCTTCAGAATTTATTTGTTACACAAAGCACACATATAACCCTGTGAAGAATTACCCGGGATGGTAGAACATGTGTTTGCAGAGATACACAAAGTAACCAGCATGGAAATTGTACTGGTTCTATTTAATCCAAAATTATTAATGTGATTAATTATTACAATTATAAGTGAGCAACTGTAGTATCAAATCCTTAGGAAGTAGCAACTTCCTAAGTCACCATGACGCAGCTAGAAAATCTGCTGTTTATAGCATGTTAGTGCTGTGAGATGAATTGCATCGGAATGCCAAATGTACTTTCTTCCTTTCATTTCCACAGATAACAAGCTTAGTAGGAAGATAATTAGCTATTTTTATTTTTCACATTTGGAAATGGAGGCTGGGAAATCAGGCAGTATGCTCTGTCATTGAGTACCAACTGAGAGAGGATTTCAAACAGGATTTGAGACTGAGTTTACAAATGAAATGTTCATTACTTGATTATAATAATAATCAATGACAATTTATTAACAACAATAAATGCATTGGTGAAACAGTCAATAGAGATCACAACATCAGTGTGCTGAAGTGTACATAGTTTCAAGATGGAAGACCTAGACCAATATGCCTGGGCAGAAAACTAAGAGAATCTTGTAGTTTCTTATTTAAAAACCTATCATTATAATATCCACCTAACACAAAATCACTGAATAGAATGCAAGCTTTCAAGAGTTTTTCAGAACTTTTTATTTGGCAAGATGATAGGGCTTAATGGTACAAGTCCATATTCAGATTCAATTGCAACTCCTTTTTAAAAGTATTTTATTGCTGTTTATTTCAATTATTATGCTTTGTTGCATAGTCAGCCAGATGTTCAGACTGAATTTAGCATTTTAACATACCTATCGGTAGATGCAGTGGTGGGTTGCTCCCAGTTCGCACTGGTTTGCAAGAACCGGTAGTAAAAATTTGTAGTAGTTCTGAGAACCGGTAATAACATTGGCTGGCCACGCCCCCGAACCGGCCCCGGCCCAGTCGCCGCTCGCTTACCCCGCCCACCTCATCAGAGGCTTTGTTTTTTTAACTTTTAAAAGCACTTTTTCTACAAGCTCTTCTGCTATAAAAATACTTTTAAAAGTTAAAAAAAAAGCTTCTGATGATCCCACGGCTCAGCTGGGATTGTCAGAGGCTTTTCAAAGCATTGTTTTCTGCAACCTCTTCAGCCGAAGAGGTGGTAAAAAAAATGCTTTCAAAAGCCTCTGACGATCCCAGCTGAGTTGCCTGATCAGCAGAGGCTTTTCAAAGCATTTTTTTCTGCAACCTCTTAAGGTTGTACAAAAAATGCTTTTAAAAGTAAAAAAATAAAAAGTTGGCCACGCCTACCCAGTTACATAACCCCCCAAGCCATGCCTACAAAATAAGCCACGCCCACAGAACTGGTAGTAAAAAAATTTAGAACCCACCCCTGGATAGATGGTATTAATTGATGGTATTAAATATATCATCAGAGGATGGAAGCTGTTCAAAGTTAAGTTTCTTTTTTTTTATTGAAAAAGTTTTTCAAATACAGATTTTTCCCCCTTTTTTCCCCCTCCTCCCTAACCCCCCTCCCCCTCCCCTCCCCCTGTGACTTCTTCATAATAAAACCCAAATTCATAACAGATTATATAATACTTTACCATCCCCTTACTCCATCCCCCATATGCTGACCCTTTCTTTCTAATAATATTATTATATCCCCCTTATACTATACATTTCAAAATGACATTCTATTATAGCATTATATAATAACTCCTGATTTAGCATAATAATATTATTATATCTCCCAGTTTAGCGATTTCTGCTCATAATCTACCCTTTTTCTAACCCCCCATACATATATCTCTTAAATCAAATCTTTTATGTATATTAATATAACATTTCAAAGCCTTCCGCTATAAAACTATATAATAAATTCTAATTTAGCATTTATTCAATTAACTCAAATCTTTTACATATATTCATATCTAAACATAATATCCCTTTTCTTAAACTAAACAATCAATAAATCAATAAACTAACCTGTCTCAACCCACTTTCCTACAAGACTACCATACTTAGAAATTCTTAGTATCTTTATTCTTCTGCCTACACCACTAAAAAATATTCCCTTATGTAAATAAAATCCTCTTAAAAAGACTTTAGGCTTGTAATCCATATAATATCTTCTGTAATGTCTTTCCGCTGGATAGTAAACTCCATCACCCATGTTAGGGTAACATCACATCCTAATTCCAACAGTATGTTCGGTATCTTCAATTACCATCTGCCCCCATCAATAGCAAATATCTTCATAATAAAAAAACAACAACCACCCGAGTGACTTTGTATTTGTATTCCATATAGTGTCTGTAGAGGTGTCTTTTATCCAAATTATTAATTCCAACCACCGTAATAGGGTAACAACCAGATCTTCTGCGTGCCCCAATCCCATAACTCTCTTGCCTTGTAACTTAGCATAAACGTAATATATTTATCAAAGAATCCAAAGAAAGATAGTTCCAATCCATTCAGTTTAAGGCCCTTTTCACATCCCAAAAGTACAGCACTGCAGAAGTCTGTCACTCTCCTCAGGATAATATAAACCAATACTTTGCCTCAGCTATCTTTTCATGTATTCAATCATCTCTTAAATAACTGGCATTACACTGTTGTTTAGTTTAAAAGTTTTTGTTTTTGTGAGACCTGCTTCTTCTTTTCTTAATTTTTTGTGGGTTGGATCTCCATCCTGAATTCCTTTCTGTAGATTATATATCAACTATTTGGTTTTCAAGCTGATCTATAACTTGATCTTGTTGGTTTCGCTTTTGTGGCTTAAATCTCCATTCTGGTTCTATAAATTGTATATCAACTGATTGATTTCCATGCTGGTTTGTAACTTGATAAGTCATTACATTAGAATCCAGAGCCGCCTCTCTTGTATTAAATGGTCCAGCTGAGACCTCTGAAAGAGAATCCAAAAGCGGCTCATCTGTAGAGACCTCTGTAACTTGTTGTTTCTTCATTACTTCCACCTCCTTCTGCTTTTCTTGAATTTCTATCTCTTGTTGATTTTGCTTTTTGAGGACCTTGTAGTAAAATTCTTCCGCTTTTTCAACAGCATTTAGCTGATATCTTTCTCCTTGATATCTCAATATTATACCAACTGGAACGTCCCACCTGAATGAAATATTTTGTTTTTTTAGCTCAGTCACCAAAAGTCCAAATTTCTTTCTATCTTTTAACATCTTAGGCGGCAATTCTTTATATATCCAGATCTTTCTTCCATACAGTTGTGGAGTAGAATTAAAGGATTTTTGCACAATATCATTTTTTATTTCTTTATCTGTGAAGTAAATCACCACATCTCTAGGCAGTT